TCTGTGCCAGGATGAGGCGGATCCCATCGGGACTGAATGATTTATGTCAGTAGGCTCAATTCACAAAGTTTTAACTCGAGGATAAGGATCTTTATGTGAACCATGTGACGGCCATATTGCCATTGGCAATAACTCACTTTTCTGAAAATAAGGATCCCTAACCTGATATGTTTGCTTTGTGAATTGAGTCGCTTGAGTTGTTATCATTGTAAAGATTGCCTGAAAGTCCTTTTTTTGATGCAACGTTCAAATTTGACATGCTTATAGATGAGTGTAGATTTCCCCTGCTGCTGAGATAAAGTGAGTTACAAGATAAAACACATGTTCCGTGAACCCCCAGCATTGGTGCCAGGGCCTGCAATGAATAACCCTTAGCATGTGCCAGGGCCATCAATAACCCTGTGCATGTGTAAGAACATGCATGTGTGTCAGGAACAGCAATAACCCCCAGCATGTGTCAGGGCCAGCAATAACCCCCTGCATGTGTCAGGGCCAGCAATAACCCCCTGCATGTGTCAGGGCCAGCAATAACCCCCAGCAATGATAACTCCCAGCATGTGTCAGGGCCAGCAATAACCCCCAGCAATGATAACTCCCAGCATGTGTCAGGGCCAGCAATAACCCCCTGCATGTGTCAGGGCCAGCAATAACCCCCTGCATGTGTCGGCCAGCAATAACCCCCAGCAATGATAACTCCCAGCATGTGTCAGGGTCAGCAATAACCCCCTGCATGTGTCAGGGCCAGCAATAACCCCCAGCAACGATAACTCCCAGCATGTGTCAGGGCCAGCAATAACCCCCTGCATGTGTCAGGGCCGGCAATAACCCCCTGCATGTGTCAGGGCCAGCAATAACCGCCAGCAATAATAACCCCCAGCATGTGTCAGGGCCAGCAATAACCCCCAGCATGGTTCAGGGCCAGCAATAACCCCCAGCATGTGTCAGGGCCAGCAATAACCCCCAGCATGTGTCAGGGCCAGCAATAACCCCCAGCATGTGTCAGGGCCAGCAATAGCCTCCTGCATGTGTCAGGGCCAGCAATAGCCTCTAGCCTGTGAATTCTGGGCGACATGATGACAAGATCCCCAGGCAGCGGGTCTATAATTCCCTGGGCTCACAGGAAGTGGGTCATTTGTTCCCCCGTGCTATCACAGAGACTGCTGGGAGAAAATTGCTGAGCATGGTGCAGAAACCCTAACGGCGTGTCCCTGTCATTGCAGATGTGGACGAATGCCAGAGCAACAACGGCGGATGCGACCACTTCTGCCGCAATACCGTGGGGAGCTTCGACTGCAGCTGCCGAGCCGGGTACAAGTTACTGACCGACGAGAGGTCCTGCCAAGGTACAAAGACAGAGAGATGATTGGCGGCGGCGGCGGCCTTGTCCGGCGTTGGGCTGTTTAAGCCTGTGACACGCTGCACGCGAAGCTGTGAGGGGGCGGAGCTGAGCGCAGCCAGATGAAAGACTTCATCTTCCGACCAATTGGCTCATGCGCAACTCAATGGACTCGGCATCCTGGCGCGCTGGTTTATACGCGCATGCCGATTGGCTGAAGATTAAATTTTTCATCTCAGCCTGCTCAGCTATGCCAGCTCTTGCAAGCCGACGCGCCGGATCGAAAATTGCAAGACACACTGCAGGCGAAGGTCTGCGTGCCGCCGCTTCCCTTTGCTGCGCTTCGCATGCAGTGTGTCGCAGGCTTTATGAAACCCAGCTGGCCTACACTGAGGATCAGGAACCGATCGGCACATGGAAATCACAGACGGCTTGTTTACAAACAAACCTGACGGATTCAGCAGGCCGGCCACAGCTGTCAGTGTAACATTCTTGTTTATTTACCAGTTTAAAGAAAAACTATCAGCACTGTATCTGTTAAAACTTAAAGAAAATAAACAATATTTAGTTGTAGAATGAATTAGTTATTGTGTTAGATGTTAAAGGAGAACTATGGGGTCAGTGTTTTTCCCATAGTTCTCCTTGGGGTAACGGGAGGACACAAACTAGCGTCCTCCCGTCACCCTAGGCTCAGTATATAGGGAGCTACAGCTCGCGGTATACTGAGACGCCGCAGCCGCAGCGGATCCCGACCTGGACGTCGGGATCCGCCCAGCTGCGTGACTGACAGCTGGCTCTGCCTATCTAGAGGCATAGCCAGCTGTACCCGCCCCCTCCCCCGTCCGTTCCGCCAGTCAGCGCTGGCAGATCGGAGCGGGAAGAGGGGAATCCAGCCCCTCCCCTGTCACGGCAGAGAGCCGTGACAGGATCGAGAGGTGAGCGAACGCCGGCATGTGTTCGCTCACCTCCCGATCTACTGAGCCGACCTGTGACAGTCTCATTGTCACAGGTCGGCTAGAACTATGAGGTGAGTGGAAATCACCCCCCTCATAGTTCTCCTTTAAACTTTGGTCTGGGCACCTAGGCATCGGTGACCTCTGGTCATGAAGGGGTCAATCTTGTTGACTGATTTATTATCTGTCGTCTTCTTCATGTTGAACCGCAGATGTCGATGAATGCTCCTTCGAGCGGACGTGTGACCACACCTGCATCAATTACCCGGGATCCTTTGCCTGCACCTGTGACAAGGGCTACACGCTCTACGGGCTGACGCATTGGAAAAGGGAGCTTCTGTCCTAGGTTGTGCTGTCGCTTTAAATTTGGGGTGGCATTGGCTCACATGGTCTGTAGAAGGATGATTGCGGTGTGCTGCTGGCACCTATTGAGAATGCACTCGCGTGATGTCGCAGCTCCTCTAAATCCTTTGCTGAAGGACTGATCATCAAACTGCAGCTCCAGTGTCTCCTTTTGCCCTAGTTAACCTGAATCTGTTCCTCAGGTCCTACAAACTAGCTGCAATTTTGGTTTCCTCTGTGGGGTTCTTTATGAGGTTGTTTGCTGCTGTTGTGCGTATCGAGGAGATGGGAGCCAAAGGACAGAAAATCAGCGACTTCATAACAAAACTGTTATGCGTACTGAAGATCTGGGAGACGCTGGGTGGTTTTGGGCATTGGCAGGGCAGCATATCTTTGTAGGTGCAGGTGACATTTTAAGTGGTCCTGTTGCCCTTTCCTGCGTGGGCGAGACGCAGGTTCACTTCAAAGTGACATTAAACCCTCAGATTTTTTAACATAAACCAATAGTGTAATGTGCGCCTTACTGTAATCCATGGTTGTTTCCCTTCTCTTTGCTGCTCTTCCTTTTAAATCCTCATGTCTTCTCATGCTTGGGGAGAACTTCCCTTTGCAGCTCAGTGCCTCTTCCTGTAGTGCTGGCTCAGGTTGCAACGTACACACAGACACCATGTATCCATTCCAGAGACAAGGCAGTCTGCTGCAAAACAGAAGTTCTCCCCCAGCATGAGAAGAGATACAGATTTAAAAGGAAGAGCAGCAAAGAGAAGAGAAACTACCATGGATTACAGTAAGGCGCACATTACAGTATTGGTTTATGTTAAAAAAATCTGAGGGTTTAATGTCACTTTAAGATTGAATAGTCAGATGCTTGCATAAGCCCAGCCGTGACTGGTTCTCTTTAAGATATATATCGATTGGGCGTTGGGATCCGCTGACTGATCTGCCTTGTTTGCTTGGAGTGTCTCTTTAGGAGGTGACTATGGCGTCCTCGTTGGCATTTCTCGCTGTACCTTCCCGGCAGCGGTGTGACGAGCGCGATGAGTAAACGTTTTTTTCTATTTATACCGCGCCGTGAGTGTTTGCCGAGTGACTGTACAGAGGCTCCATTATAGGAGGGTGACCTGGGTGACGCACCCCCCTCCCCCCCCCGCCCCCTCCTGGGGCTTATTCACACCTACTGACTGCCCCCCCCTCCTGGGGCTTATTTGCACCTACTGACTGATTTCTGGACACAGGGTGCGACCGCTCTATCGCAATCTCATAGGCGGAAGGGTTTAGCCAAACATGTTAACTTGTAGCCGGTGCCCTATGAATACAATGTTGCTGGACCTCTGATCATCCGTGTTGTGGTTACTTTGTGCCCGGATGTGCAACGATTTATCTGCAGAGCTCTGCGCCATTTCTTGCCAATCTTTACAACATATCTGATCTCGAAAGGCCAGACGGACACATTTGTACGTAGATCACGGATTGGCTTACGATTACATTTGAATCATTATCAAAAAGTCCAATTTCTTGCTTCATTGTTCTCATGTGCAGCCTGCCTCTCACGCTCCAGTGGGTGTGGCTAATGCCGCATGCTCATTCAAGCCAAAGCTCAGACAGCACCACCATTGGTCCTGGAGGATGGGGGAGGGGATTGTGTGTCAGCATTTGCATATTGTACATAAAGAAATGTTTCATTGTATGTTATTTTATTTATTGTATCAGAATCTCATAAGAAATGTTTCAGGGACACGTTCTGCCTGCGTTGATGGTAAAGGGTTAAACCTTTCGCCTCCCACCCTCTTCAGAAATAAAGTGTCGGCGCGACCGCACTGTAGACTCCTGCGGCGCGGCGTCTGACCGCGGGCGAAATAATAAAAATGCCAAAAATATACGTTCCTTAATGGCAAGCGGTTGGTTGGTAGCGGCGTGCGTTCTCTCCGGGTGTCACGATGCGCTCCGCAGTCCTCCGAGCGAGATGGAAAATCTTCGCCTACGTGAGAGGGCCGATTGTTGACGCGGGTGACGGCTCCCTCCGCCGCTCGCACCCGGAGCCCAAAATACTCCCTGAACTTTCGCTCAGAATCCAGCGGCGTGGAAACTTGGCACCGGGGGGTCCCCGCGGAGGAGGAGAACGATTATATGTCCTCATTTTATAGAAGGAAGCCAGAAAGTCCCCAGTCCTGGGATTCCCAGATGAATGGGCTGTCTGCAGTGTAAAGCAGGAGGGGCATGGTGGCTAAAATCTGCCCCCCAGCCTTCATATACCCCCCCTTTCCTTCATATACCCCAACCTTTATACAGCCCCCTTTCCTTCATATACCCCAACCTTTATACAGCTCCTTCTTCATATAGCTCCTCACACACCTTCCTCCGCAGCCTTCATACAGCCTCCCTCCATTGTCTATACATCCTCGCTCATCCTAAATACAGTCCCCCTTCCTTCATACAACCCCTAACCTTTATACAGCCCCCTGCTTCATATAGCCCCTCTATCCTCCATATAGCCTCCCTTGCATACCCCTCCACCATTACAGAACAATGATGATGTGACATTGTTATACTTTAGAATAGCAGAGCTGTTAACGATTAAGTCTTTATTTCCAGAATCTGGGAAGGGGGTGCAGGCGGTTGGAGAATTGTATTTTGATTGCACCATTTAAAAGTAGAATTCGGGTGTCGGATGGTGGCTCTTTTTTTTTTTTCCTGCGTGGTTGAGGATTCCCTTTTTTGTTTTCTGAGGCTTTTCTTTATTTTTTTCCTAGATATCAATGAATGCAGCAGCAACAATGGCGGCTGCGAGCACACCTGCGTCAATACAGTGGGCGATTATTACTGCCTGTGCCCCCCGCGCTACAAGTTACACTGGAACCGCAAGGACTGCGTGGGTAAGAGGCCGCCACCCCCTGGTTGCAGAGGCTCCGCCCCTTTCAGCCCTGGTAAAGCTTTGGGGTCAATTCACTAAAATGGGAATTCACCGCTGTATGGGAATCAGTGTGCGGTGCGTAGTGCGATGATTGGGGTTTTTGCTGGTCTTTGGAGAAGGATTTTCGCACCCGCCATACACAGAGCCCATTTTTTTGGAGAACCAGCACCCTGACCCGTCTCTCAGATGGACTCTACACCTTCCCAAATCCTAATCTTAGGGTGCCAGACACCAGGCTCCGCCTTAATAAGATAGTCCAGGACCACCCGACACCCCTCAATTGTTCAGGTGTCTGTTGAGAAGAACAAGAAAAAATTCAGCAAGGACTTATGAGAAATAAAGGTTTTCAGGGGTTCAAAGGCTCTTTCAATTAAAAGTGACCGTTGTTACCCCTCGTATTAATAGTTCTGAGTGTGAATGGAGAGAAATCTATCAGGAGATAAAACACTGAACACAGTTTAAAAAAAACTTGCACATTTGAGTGAATTGACCCTGTTGCTGGGGCATTGGAATGGGCTACTGCTGGAGCACTACAAGTCCCAGCGTCATGCTATAAAATGCTGGGATGTGTAGTCCTCCAGGGTCAGAAGCCATGTTGGGTCCATCCCTTTAAATGTCACTTTTATGTCACGTGATTTGTGTTCCATGAAATGATTTTTGCTGTGTGATAAAACAGGAGATACTTCTACTTTCACCATTCTGTCACTAATACCCATTTGTCTTCCACATTCATCTGTTGGCATCTCTTGCATTGCATGCTGGGGGGTGGGGGGTGTCCATCTAGGGGATGGCTGGGATGTGTGGCAAAGACTGAATATTTCCTATGATGTGTGGATTTTGGGGGAGGGGCTGTATTGGGCGTCTTGCTGCTCCCATATTTGTACTCATTTTTAACCCTCTTATTGACTGCTGACGTCACCCATGTGAATGTCACTTTATTCATCAATAATGTTCATTCCACCCGCATTGTAACACTTCGCTGTGTCGGCATATCGGCTGTAACGTTGTCTGACAAGGTAAGAAAAGTCCGATGTTTGTTCTCAGTGACCTCAATATAAAGATCAGAGGAATTCTATTACATGTCTGTTATAATGTTATCAGTGAAAGTGTTTAATGGTGAGCTAGGACTTTCTCCAATCTCTGTCTGTCTCCTCTCTTCCTTTCTTTTTTTCTTTCCTTTCCCCCCACTTCTACCTCTCTCACCCCCTTCTCCTTCGTATTTCCTCTCTTTACACCCCTTATCTCTTTCTCTCCCCCTACTCACCTGCACTTCCATCTTCAGCACTCACTTTCTCCCCCCTTCTTCTCTGCCATTCCTCTTTTGGAACCCCATGCCTCCTTCTCCCCTTTTTCTAGCCCTCTTCTCCCCCTTCCCCACTTCTCCTCCTTTCTCTCTAAAAAAAAAAAAACCTCCTCTCACCCCCATTCTGACTCTCTTTCTCCCCCTATTCTTCTCTTCCTCTCTTGGAACCCCCCTGTCACCCTCTCATCTCTCCCTCCCAGTTTCTAACCTGGTCTCCCCCTCAATACTCCTGCCCTTTCTTTCTTGAAAGTTTCTAACCCTCTTACCTCCTTCTTCCCTGCCCCCTCCTCAATTTCTCCCTTTGTCCCTGGCTTTCCTCTCTCACCCATGTCCCTCTCTGTCTCTTCCCCCTCAACACACACTTTTCAGCTCTCTTGCCCTTAATCTCTTAAAAACCTCCTACCTCTCTCCCCCTTCTCCGCTGTTCTTCCTCTCTTAGCACTCACTTTCTGTCTCTCCTCTCTCACCTGTCTCTTCCTCTCTCACCTCCTCCCTCTCTCTCAACTCCTCTTCTCTCTCCCTCACCTCCTCTTCTCTCTCTTTCACCTCCTCTTCTCTCTCCCTCACCTCCTCTTCTCTCTCTTTCACCTCCTCTTCTCTCACCCCCATCCCTCTCTCTCATCTCTCACCCCCTGTCCCTTCCTCTCTCACCTCCTTCCTCTTCTCTCTCCCTCACCTCCTCTTCTCTCTCTCACCTCCTCTTCTCTCTCCCTC